CTTGTCCCGCACAAATGGGCAAAAGGAGAGGAGGACAAAATTAATAAACACAGAAAGCGCCCCTACCTGTCAATGATAACTGGGTCTGAAGGTGTCTCATTCCTGTTGCCGCAACTTTTCTTGTCACAACACCGGCTGGAGGAGAAAACGTTAAAATGTTACGAGATTAAACCACATCTTGTAGCAAGCCTTCAAATCCAGTTCCATCTTGAACCCCCCCCCCCCCCACCCCCACCCCCCACCTTGTATGTGAACTAGGGCCCTATACATTTTGCTTAGTTTTATTCCATTCTGCCTTTTTGTTTTTGGTCGATCATCACTTTGTGCCTCGCCACTCCCCGACTCGCGCGGAACCCAGCGAATCGCGAGCGACTGCCGTCGCGGCCCTTCTGCTAAAAGATGGAAAACAACATGTTGTGCTGTTTGCCTTAGCAGTGAACTGAGAAGAGGCGATGCCAAGAGGCTGGGGAATAACTACTCACAGTTTTACTTTCTGTTTACCTCTAATTGTCAAGCTGTTATTTCTGGAGAGGACGCGAGATGCCACCTTCAACCAGTATTTCTGTGGGGCGTTTATTAATTACAAACCAAAAAGCCAACATATCCTCTACCACAGAGCGGTACTATTCTCATTTTGCAAGTACACCTATGGTACATTATTACAACTTTAATTAAAGATAGAGCTAAATAAAACTGTTATGCTTCTTGCATTTAAAAAAAAAACATACCTGTATAATGGTTACATGTCTAAATTAGCTAAATTAACACCATATGGTATGTAAAGTATATAAAGCTCTCTAACTCTGACAGCTAAAATGATTAAAGAAAGTATACAGTCCTACACTTACAGCTTAAAATCACATCTGTGCTCTCTCCATATTAATTGCAGTACATGCAGAGGTGTGTAATAAAGAATTTCCTTCTCTCTGTTTATAATTAATATTCTTTTCATTGGCGTGTGGAAACGTTGGCTTTTTATATTATTATTATTTAACAAAGCGCCTTTGGAGGGCCAGCATTGGGTAAATAGATATGATAGTATGGAATAGTTTGCCCCTCAGAGTATGGTGCCTGTTACTGTCGTTTGGGAGTGTGGAGCGCCCACTGGCATCACTGCCGCACTTCTAACGAGCGCCTGTTTCCGGGGGTCCAAAATGCGGCGCCATTATACGCGCGCGTGTTGCCCATCAGAAGACGGCAAACTAACAAATCGATAAATAAATACAAACAATTAAATTGCAGGAAGCACCTTTCCGCGCTCATATGTAATATTAATGCATCTTAAATAAAGATATGGACAAAAAAATCCAGTTCCATGTAATCGTACAAAATAATAATGCCAGACTGTCTCTTTTGAGTCAAAAGCTTGCAGTATTAACCAGTGAATTGGCGCTTTGATGCCGCGTGGTAATATGATATTTGACAACAATGCAATTAATTAACTTTTTTTAATATACTGCCGTGACAAAGAAGGCATTAATTTGCTGTTGATTCGTTTTCCTGGTCTATTACTGGAGGTGATAACAGTACTTTTTCGCATCCTTCTCCATAATGAGAATGTAACATATCTAACGATAGGTAATAAGACGTGCGCCACGTGAATCGCGAGCACTTTATCGATTTTATTTCAGTTAAACCACAACCTGGTATCTCCAGATTTCAGTGTGGTTCAGGGGACATTTCCCGTAAATTGATCGTAATGTCTTATTTGGAAAAAGCAAGGGGGCTCAAAGATGTCGGTCTGCTTATCATGTGAGAATGGGGGTATTTTACATCTGTTCATTCGATTCAATCGTAAACACTTTTTCGATACGTTTCAGCAATAAACCAGGGCCTGTCCGGCGCTATACCGAGTAGCAGGAAAATCAATAGCCCGAAGATCAACACTAAAATTGGCGCATATTACCCCGCATGCCAAAATAAGAGACCACGAAAAACAGAAATTACAAGAACCTATATTACGTCGACTCTTTTTACCTGCAGTTTTAAAGGAAAACAAGACAACGTACACACCACTGCCTCTTACCTGCACATGATTTCATGGGTGAGAAGAACTCGGCACATTTCTGGGTTTTTGTCTTGACCTTCATAAATAATAGCCTTAAAATTAAAGCAAAAAAATATATATCAGAGCTATACATTGCAACTTAATATCGTCGGCAGCATTACTTTGCACTGTAGGCCCATAAGCCACACAAATTTTAGCAATACGTAAACATACTGCAACTGGCCAAATATGCAATTGAACAAACAAATTAATTAGCATAAGCAATTAATTAAATGCTACTCAAACAAAATATAAAAAATCCCTGTTTTATGTTTTTATTTAATTTTATGTTAAACTTTACGAAATTGAATTTCAAAATAACGAGCACCACTCTAAAAATCCCGCAAAAAAGGCCTAACGGGGGTAAATTAAATCATTTAATTATGTCTTATGTGTGCCTTGATTGTGCGTATTTTAGCATTTATTTAACACTTTAAATATTTCTGCCGGGATCAGTTGTTACGCATTGTAACGTACAGCGTTGCGATATTGCAATGTTAATGATATCTTTACTTTTTTAAAAAATTCTGCATAGATTATCAGTTACATTTAAAAGCTAATGGAGGTTTTCATATGAGGAGGATCGCTTTAAATAAAACCCATATCCGTATACGTCAACATGGTTATAATCTGCAGATATTTGAGGGGGAAAGTGCTAATGGCCAATCTGTTGTTTATTTTGAGCCGCTAACAATGATTTCTCTTTGGATAAAAAGCGGTGTCTGGGGGTACGGTTGAGTAATTTTCGAGCAATGGCTGAAACAGATGGTGTAGAGCTGTAGGTGCGCTAGCCTTCAGTTCTTTCGCTCCGTCTCCCTCTCTCCCTCCCTCCCTCTCTCCCCTGTCTGTCTGCGATCTAGGCGAGCACTTCTCACTCTCCCTGCCCGCTTACGGGGGTATGCCTGCCTTCTCAACTGTGCGCGACATAAGCGCACACAAAAAACCTCTCTCCTATTTCGGAAATCGCAGCCAAAGCTAATCAGCCCACTAAGGTCCAGCCGGTATGACGTCCAATGAGACTAATAGAGATGAACAGTGGCAAGAATAAAATGCGCGCAGATGAACGTATAAATACAGGCCGACAATAAGTTCTAAGAAGCCATTTAACCAAGCGCTGTATATAACGCGAATAACAAAACAAATTAAATAAATATATGTATAAATTTTATAAATAGCAAATTTGAGGACTTATAAAATAATTCATATAAATGCTACAGTGAATTAAAATTGAAAAATAAAAAATAAAATTTATACAAAATAGCATGGCTCTCGGTCACGGTCATTTTACAGAGCACAACTCGATTAAATAACTTCATCTAGGACAGATGTATTTTTTTCTCTCTTCCGTGACCAGCCACATATGGGTGATTTATTTTTCTTTCTGCTGTTGATACAGAAATCCATAAAAATGACCGTTCAGCGCCATTGACTCGTTGATCATTTACAACGTTACTTTAGCGTCAACAAAGTGGGAGACGAAACGTTAATATTTTTTAAACACTAATTCGGCTGACATAACAATGAATAAACAAAGACCATTAATAAGAGCATTTAAACCTCGCCACTAAGCTTTTTTATTCAGTGAATGAGGGCTTTGTAGTTATCAATACGGGCCTCTTAATTAGCCGCTAGTGATTTCCTAAAACATTTAGCGTTTGTATACAAAGGAAATAAATTACATTGTGAACTCAAGAGCCCCTCTCACACTGACAGGGTCTTACGCTTAACTCATATTATTACTGTAGGATAAAAGCCTCAGTGATCGCTGAAAGGGGTTCATGAACGTAACTTGTATGTATAAGTGTATAATTTATTGAATAAATATATATTAAACGTTTTGCATGTGTGTGTGTGTGTGTGTGTGTGTGTATATATATATATATATATATATATATATATATATAAAGTAGTCACGTGATTTCCAAGTTTAGTTTTAACGTTTACACATGTAGGTAGCCTTGGTTAACGGTATCGACGACAATAAATATATGCTTTTGCAATGAAGTAGTATGTCTTTTTCATGAAGCACATGGCGGCAATTTGGCAGAAATTCATTCTCAGATCAAGTTTAAAATTTATTTAAAAAAAAATCTTTACGCTAAATGAAACTTAAATTCAGGTAACATCTATCATTTTATGAACAGGCAAACTAACGACACAGTTAAGTTAAGTGAAAAGCGAAGGAGGCGTCTAAGAAAATAAATTGTCACTCATCTGATAGGAACGGACGGGTTCGAGAGACCCCTGGAGCTTATAGCCTGAATTAGGATTTGCGGGCTATTTTGAGATATTTTGGACCACAGCGGACGCTGAGGCGGGTGGTACTTTAAATGTTTTACGTTATATACTAAAATATTTATTTGCTTGTTTGCCTTAAACGCAAATAAATTAATACATCTTTATTCGTTATTTAAGACTAGCTGGATGTAAGAATCACATTTTCTAAACACCATCAATCGTGCCGACGCAAGTAGACTGTATCTCTCATTTATCAAAACGACTCGGCGGCGTCTTAATTTAAGAAGGATAAGATTTCACGTTTTATTATAGCCTTTTAAAAGTATGGTTCAACTTTCCGTTTTAAGGTAACTTGGTTTTAAGAGGGTGCGAAGCAAAAAAAAATACAAGACATAAAAGTCTTACCTGTTTTGTCATGGAATCGATTAATCGTACGTAAAGATCTTGTTCTGTTCTGACGCCTAGGAAAATGATTTAATGTTTTTCAATTAGAAAATATATAGTATAGCCGTAAGAATTATTTACCTTCAAATTAAAAACAATAAATCGTGAACATAACTATGTCATCTGTATTAAACACTTTGGAAGTATATGTTAATTTTTAAATTGTGTGATTAAGTCCTTGTCACTTTAACACTCATTTATCGTATGAAAAAAAGTCATTTAAATTCCACATTTAATAAGAAACTGCTGTTATCATCCTAAATGTAGCAGTAAGTCCAAATATACTAACATATAATACTGCTCGCATTTTAAAGTAAACAGTTTAAACATGCTATATGTGGTATGGTAATGGTGAAGCACTCACTATTACATTCAAATGTTCTTCAATTGCGAACTTGGGTCTGAATTTATTTAATTTAAAATATTTATGAACGCTAGTGATGGGTGATTTACACTTGCTCAGATTGCTTACGTCGACATTCATATTCCTAAATTTCATCCTCCGGACGCGGATCAGATGTGACTCACCGTTGCTGTACAATAACTGTAGTTTGTAATGAATCCCGTTGTTGGTTTTTTCGCTGTTTGGTTCCTGAAAATAATCAGCATTGTTTCGAATCAGCGAGACATATCTCGTGAGACTGTTTACTTTGCCGAACACAGCTTCTAAAAATGATTTTTGTGCTTAGCGAAAGAAAGGGTATACGTCAAAGACCTATATATGTGTCTAATTGTATATGTATATAACTGTCCATCAATAATGGCGACATATCCAATGTGAAATTAAATCTATATTTAAACATAACAGTCCGTTAAACAAAAACGTAATGCTTATATATAATAATAAATGTTAAACTCTTTTTTTCTTGTGATTTTATAAAAAATCAAAGTGCACGTGACTCCATCACCGTTAGAGTTCCTTTTAGTTTTGACCTTTTAAGTGAAAATCATACGCAGCGATAGTTTGGGATGATATTCCAAAGTAGCCCTTACTTTCTCCTTCTCCACAAAGTCCACATAGGCTGTGCGTTCGATCTCCACGGGTTGCCCCTGTCTGTCATAGAGAGCCAGGACGAAGTGGAAAAAATTGGATTTTCTGAGGTTGGACGGCGGTTGCTTTTCGTAGTGCGCCCGAGCCAAACCCACACCGCTGCGGGGAGAAAACAGGAGACCATCTCGATTAAATGGGAGATACACAAGAGATATTCAGAGTGGACGCAAACGCTGTAGATTGGGGAAGCACGTTTTGGAGACAGGAGATTTCTTGATTTGTCACTTTAACAGTAATATGATGTAATGAAAGGGAAAAGGCGGAAGAGGGGCATGGGGAGATTGTAATTGATACGGGGCATTGAGGGGATTTAGGGTCGATCTGAGAAATGCATTAAAAATCGGATGATTTGGCATACATACCTTTGGGCGGCCGTGTTAGCGTCCACTACCCCAGCTGTGTGCATCCACGATCGGACAGGATTCATCCCACTGCCCAGCGGTTCTTCCTTCATTGTCGTCCCACCTCTTGGTATATTGTCCTGAATCCCAAACATTAAAACAGTTTTGTGCAAAACCAGTTCCTACCAAACGGGTATTTTTCTTGTCCTTGGCGATTGGAAGATAAGAGCACGAGTTTGCTCTTGAGTGTTCTGTGGAGAAAACCCAGCTCTGAAGTCGTGCTTCCTTCTTCAATCCGTCCTGCGCTGGCACGACATAAACAATTTACACAAGAGTAAGCTACCGTACCTCAGCAGCTAGTTAACGCGCGATCCTTTCGTTTAGGAAGTCCTTTAACCAGCTGGTTTTTTATTTTCAAAAGTTGGTTATTTTGTTTTATTCTTTATATTAAAAGAAATATTTTGTAACTTGGTTTTGGCGATGCTTTCAGTGTAGTGCCATCCTTCTTGAACAGAATCAAAAAACCTTCAGGTCACTGCTGAATCGACCACTTCTGGCAAGACGCTCCCGCTCCAGAAGACAAATAAACGAAAAAATGATTACCATGGAGGTGTTCCTGAACACAGGAGAGGTTGATGAGGGGCCTTTAGCGTCTTGCAGAATGGATGGTAGCATACAAAACTCAGCCCTCTATCCCCTAGGAATGGAACCTTTCCCGGGAGCCAAAACTCTAAACCCGGGGGATCGGCGCTGTCAGAATATGACGCTGAGTGGGCGGGGCTTTGCCCAAATATGGAAGACTGACAATTCCTGTGTGCGATCGCAGCTCGCCTTCTCGAGCGCACGCTATCATTGCTGCAACCTCGAAACAGCAGCTTTACTCTTTCTTACAGTGTAGAGAGATTTTTTTCCTCCCCCGTTAAATGAACATTTAGTGAAAATGCTCTTAGTCAATATATAACACTTTAGGGAAAAAAGGCAAATCGGAATAATTTAGGTCGCCAAAAAGTTATGTTATCTGTAGCTGGTATGTCACACTAAATATTTTTTGCAGGTATACGTTGTGGTCTAATCACTCGATGTGTAATCAATGAATTACGTTACAGCATTACATGGAAACAGAATAAGGGTATAAGAAGAAACGGATTGACCCACTAATTTAATGGAACGTGAAACGGTATCCGTAATAAAACCAGATCGCATGATATGCAGTTATAAAGCATAGTTTAGAAGGGGTGATAACCTTACTGTTTTAGATGATAGTGCGTTTTATGTTTTTCCCTCGCTTTGGCTAAAATGCATTGACTCCATTCAGTCACTTTATCTTTAAAACTACATGCAACAATTACCAATTTTATAGCAAAATAAAGATATCAATAAATCACATTTTAGTGTGCATGTTTATATTGATGTGCAGTATAATTACATCTTAATAGGCCCAATTCATTTCGCGGGTAGGATGCACAGCATCTGTTTCGATAGACTGTCAGTACTTGGTGCAGTAAATCACTGCTTCGTTTTATTTAAGTTACCTTCTTCATCAAAGTTCGCGCTGGATGCGTAATTCGTTTACATTTTATCGTGTATCTTGCTACTCGAGAGAAAAAAAAAGAGTCCGGCATAAAAAAGAATATCCAGACTGCTTTCCTTTGGAGAGAATCCCGTTCGTCTTTGATAATAATACAAAGACCGCGGACAATCTTAACGCTGCCTGATGCTTCCTTTAGCCCTATAAGTTAAGGCTTTGCTTTTTGTCAATTGGCAGGGTATGTATGTTAATATTTTAATTAATCGGTGAAAATCGAAGTCCGATTTGTGTTATCAGGGGACCCTCAGCCCTCTGCACTAACGGGGGTGGGTGGGGGGATGTAGAAAGGAAGAGAGATGTGTTTTAGAGAGCAATCTATTTTGCTGGTGTTGGGGGTTAATGACTATTGCCAAAGATAAGTGAATTATCAAAGCTGTTGCTCTTGCCTCGTCTCAAAATCCGTTACATTGCCTGGTCGTCTAATTAAATACGTAAGTATAATAAAATTATATTTTACGATGATTTGAAGGTAATAAGATTAGTCTTTTTGAAGTGTACTTCACATCCAAGTGTCACCGAAATTTTAATATTCATATTGAGAAATATATATGTTAAGGAAATGAAACACATTTGTTGCGCGAGTAGAGTATAAATTGAGATCTGCTGTTGGATTCCGTCTAAAAACGGTTTTTATAATACGTTTTTGTTTGAATCGCATTGGTTAATTTATGTATATTTAAAGCGTTGAATAAATAGCAAATACAAAGAGATATAATTAACCCAGACAGTTCAGTTAGAATAATTCAACTGTGTACATTTCAAATAACATTTATATAAAATTAAGTTGGCATTTCCTTTTAATTTATGTTTTGTGTCGTCGTAGAGATCGTATATTGCTTTAAGTCATTTACTGTATCTTTAATACAGATTACACGGCAAGGCGATTTCAATCTGATTACCAAATTAGGGGTTTAAGACAAATCCTCTTAAAGCTGATACCGTTGACTGGAGAAGGGAAAGAAAAGTTCGAGAAACCCATTACGTAGGTAACGATCCTGTCCTAAAAAGGAGTTTTAAACCTTATTTGACAACAAATGCAGCTGCCCCACTATTTTGGAAGATATTAGCCGAAAATGAATGCAAATCTGTGTTCAGAAGCCATCTGGCCAGAAATAGAGGAATCAGCTGCTCCACACAACAGGCGCTGAGCCTGAATCTATTTCAGCTCATTTTCTAGGATCATCTGGTCCTGGATTCAAAGCGTGGAAAATGCGCTCTTTAATTCACCAACTTTTACTTTGACTCTACTAAACGGCTTCCGTCAAAGCTAAAATTATCACAGAGCCACAAAATTAAGAAATTGGACGGGAGATTATAAAACGTGTCCTATTAATTTACTACGTTATATGCCATTTCGTTTCAAAATCATGACGCATAGAAAACGTGCTTGCTATTTACGTTGTTCAGTTGCGTGACAGTTTCAGAATACTGGTAACATTTTGTCCCTTCCAGCGCACCAGAGTGGACTTAAATCTAAATGTATCTAGATGTATTTTTAAATGCAGATTACACGATAGATGCAAACATGCGTGACGTGCTAAAAGGCTTGCTGAGTTGACTTGAGTCATTCAATCACAGATAAACTGTTTGCATGTTTAGTGTTGTGCCAACTACCGTTATCCTCGTGCTACCAGAAAGCCGCCATCTACACTCGATAAAGCTCTGTTATTAACGGTATATGGCTGCTATTGTTAATCTGTTTAATAATATTCCTACAGCCATTAGTAATGATTTGATGGTAGCAGTAGCAGTAGTGGTAATGGTAGTTTGTTATTGTTGTTGTTTTGTTGTACCCGCAGTAGTTGTAGTGTACAAGCGCACCCAGTAACCGCTGTTATCCTTTGTAAAACGCAAATCACTAAGACGTGGGGCTTTATACGTCGGTCATGTTAGATCTCATTTTGAGAAGTGTGCTAATAGTGGAGGCTAGACAAAGGAAAAGTTAGTCATGCAGAAGGTGTGTGGGTTTGAATAAGAGTTGCTCGGTGTTGCCAAGACCTCCCGAAGAAACGACCCTCCTCCTTATTGTGTGTGAAGTGTTCCTTTTGTGTGAATTTACGGGGTGAGGCTCCAATGATCCCCCCCCGCAAATTTGCATTTAAATAGCGACATCAACCGATTCGCGTGCCACACACCAGTGGCTTTCCCAGATGTCAAGGCAAAGTCAGTCAGACGGCTATCGCCCAGCTGTCCGGCAGCATCATACCAGAGCACGCGGGCGGCCTTAACATACACACATTTTTATTTTAATCTCTGATCAATTAGGTCAGGCTTTAGTTCTAACGATGTTTTGACGAGTAAAGAGGAAAAAGAACGCTACCAAAAGAATCCAACCAAACAGTTAAAAATACTTCGATTCATATCAGAGTGTTCTTTTATTTTTGTTTATTGTGCACTTTTGATCCGTCTGTTTAATCGCCAAGTCACATCAATAGCAGCTGACATCAATCAAAACTTGTCATTTTATTTTGCAGGGAAAAAAACGACGATAGTTATCATTGCGTTATTGACTAACAATAATAATAATAATAATAATAATAATAACCGTGCACAAGAACCATATCACAGCCATAATTTTAACCTGGGAATATCAAAGGGTGTCCGCTGTAATAAAAGCGCGCACATTGTTAATTGCTGAAGCTTTGTTGTGCTTATTTTAAAACTTCGCGAACATTTCAGTTTAAGTATTGATGATGTGATCCAGATGGAAACTGCATTCGAGTATTAGGATGAATTGAATTGGGAGCGACGTTATTCTGCAGTTTTTCGAAATTCATTCTTAAATATCGACAGGCGTGTACGATTTTGGAAGAGTAACAACAGACACAAAAGCTAGTACATACAGACTCGTAGGGTTCCAGTTTTATTTGGAAACAGGCTACGTGCAGGAGGCTGATGACAAAACTATTTATTACTATGTAAGGAAACCGAAAACATTCAAGTGGGTTTCTCTGATTGGCTAGTAATTTAATCAGCCCCGCAATATTTACATTTAAGAATAACAATTAAACTCAAGTAAAATGTGTCCGACATTACACCATTGTTAACATGTAAAGATGTACTTCTTTCATAAAGTAGAAGGAACGGACAGTAAGTGTCTCTTCTTCCTATGGCATGCCTGCCCGCGGCTCTGTGAGAGGGAGATGCGCTGTACTGCACCTGAACACCGCAAACGATCGAACAAAAGATTCACCGAGCAACGAGTTTATCTGTTGCACAAACAATATATCCATTGCATCGTACGTTTAAAATATAACTGCATGTACTTTCGAATTTACTATTATTTATCGAAATTGCCTTTACTTTGTGAGCAAATGCACATTACATGACGACTTTGAGCGTGTGACATATTGTAATTTATTGGGAAAATATTGTATATATATAGACATTTTAAATATGACTGTATAATGTCATTAATTATATTATATACAATATATAACTGAAGTTCGAACACGCATTTAAATCTGTGCCTTTGTGTGTAACTTCACATCAGACGAATATATCTTGTTTACAGGTAAAATCACTAAACTGAACATACTACAAACAATAGAGGTATATAATGTCCAAGCTATCCTGCAGACAATGAACCAAATGCATTTTTCAGGGAATGTTATTCATCACAAGGAAATTATAAGATACTTGCTTAACAGTATATTGCTTGATTTTTCTTCTATATAAAAATCCACACAAATTAAAAATGAAATTTGAAAGAGTGAAGATCACCTTGCTTTAAAAAGGCCACGCGGTAATGGTCCCTGATTCTTTTAAAGACGCTTGCTTTAAATTTGATACACAGCGCCTCCTGCAGGCACGCAAAAAAAACTCGTCATATTAAACCAAAGCTCCAGAAATCTCCGGACCGCGTCGTCTAAGATACATTGACCTTACTTGTCTAATGGAGCCACGATGCGATTTAACACCAGCACACCAAACACTGTACGGTTCTCTTATAGTACTGAGATAGTTAGTCAACCGCTTGCAAAGGGTGTCCGTGCCTTACAAAAAAGCGTACAAAGCATATTGAAGCAAATTAATAGTTATACGAAGCAATCGATGAACGGTTTGCTGTTTTTAGGAAAAATAATTGCTTACCTAATGGGGTTTAAAAATGTATATATATATATAAATGTGTGTGTGCGTGTAACATAGACCTAATTCGGGTTATAAATTGGATGCGCATTTCTGAAGTCCGATAAAGCAAATGAAAACGCCTTCTTTATTTCAAGGATATTATTAAGAAAACCTTTCAAATATTTTCAAATATTAGAAGTTCAGACTTACACGCTAGGATTTTACGTCTAGTTAGGCACATAACCAAATATTTCCAGTCTCTTTTTCCCAAACATACCTTTCTTAATGTAAAGACTGCACAATCGAACGTCTGATACTTTTTAAAGTGGAACCGAGGATCGATCAAGTAATTGGAGCTATTGTAAATTGGCTTTAATTAAGCATGCATCGTTATAATTAACTCAGATTTTTTTTGCAGCCGCTGGGACGGCGGTGTCAGCTTTGATACCGTCAGTCCAAATGTCCTAATAAGAATCAATCCTCAATTAAAAGTTTAAATATTCATTGGGAACAAATTGAAATTTATTATCAGAGCAATACATTGCGAATGCTAAAGATCCCGGTATAAGCTATAGGCCATATATATATAACGTCAAAGCTCGTACGTGAGCGGTCCAGTTCCGCGCGCCGCAAATTGCCTAAATGGCACGTGTCATGCCGGTTAGTTAAAATAAAGGAGCGCAGCACCCCAAGGTTACACCAGACTTTTTACAACTGCTGCTTTTATAACTCAGCGAAGCTAGCGACAGTTGTAACTGGCGATGTCCAAACAATTAACAGGCGCTTTTATTAAAATATAAATTCAACACACAGCGGCAAGTCTTACACATTGCTCGGACATTTTGAAGTGTTTTAAAGTACTGTATTTTAAAAGCCAATAAAATTAAACCCTGCTGCGTAACAGCATACATTTCGTCTCAAAATAATAAGAATTAATAAAGAATAAAAGGAACTGCGGTAATTTTGCAAACATGTATTTTGTCATTGTCGTTATCCCGGTTTTCACTTTTATTTTCCTATTGTTATGTTTTTTTTCTGCCGTTGAGGTGAATGATAATATAACGTTACGCGTATTCCTGCAATTATTTTATGTGAAATGTACAGAACACGTGAATAGGTGAGCGATGCCAAGGGCTTCGGCCGCCGTGTAATTTGCATTTTCATTCTGGTACTAAAATGAAGAGAGAGAGAGCGGGATGCAGGGCGGTGTGGGCGCCTACGGCATCGCCCCGGGCGATACCGATATAAAGAACAAGAAAAAAATGAATAAAGAAACCGAGACCCCTTCTAGACAATTAAGATGTAAAATTTCCAGTGTAAATCGAGACTGAATAGACTATGACTGGGTCAACTCCTCCTC